TTATTCAAAATTTGGCAATCTAATACAACAATATTACTAAAAGGGCCCTTAGTTGTTGTTGAAAATTTTTAAGGCCAAAGAGAACTATAGTATTGTTTGAAAATTTTAAAATGAGTTAAGTTGCTAATGAATTACTTAAGCCTGACTTGAATTATATTTAAAGTGAAATAGATTTTGATAAAGTGATTCTACAATGGTATAAGTGGATTTTTAACAGTAATTATGAGCTAACAATAGCTTCTTCGAATGACAAAGTAGCTTCTGCCTCCCTAACATTAATGGATAAATAATGAGTAACTATCCTTTTTATTTTTTTAGTAATTAACGGTTAAACTAGTAAAAGTATTGATTAATCATCAACAATAATTCCTTTTTTTAATTGCCGTACACAATAACATAAATATAATGGGACGGGATTGAGTAGTAATTAAATTAAGGCACCACAATCATCCTCGTAAACAAAACCCCACTTATTTATTTTTACATAAATTATTATAAGATTTCTATATTATCATTAGGACAATGGTATGTTTACCCTGCCGACCAACACCCTCACCTACCCCCATTCGATTCAATAAATATAATATAATTTAAATAGATTTCTATAATGTTAAAAGCTTATCCCTATCTTATTTGGGATATTTTATTTTTCCTTTCTGTGGTTCCTCACCTTCTTCCTTTCTTCTCGTTTCTTCCCCTTCTCTCTTCTCTCTCCGTTCTCCATTGCCGAGAATCTCTTCCTTCTCCGATGTTGGTTCTCTTCTTGCCCCTCGATCTCCCTCATTGGCTCAAGCCTTTCCTCTCCAGTCTAGTTGTTTTCCCTTCCATAAAATCCACTACCCATCTCTATTCTTAATCTAGGTTTCAACAGATTTTGGCATCCTCTCACCCTTGCCTCTCTCATTCTGTCTGCTCCTAAGCCTCTTCTCCATTCATGCCTTTTTCCTCATCCGATTGAACCATGGAAAGTCTAATGTTCTAGATCTAGGTTTGGCAAGGCTACACAACGGGGAACCCATATGGGTTCCTAAATCTGTTCTCAAATCTATTGACCCAACTTCAACTCAACAACAAATTCATCCTTTCGATCATTGTTTTGATTTTAATAAGTTATTCGTTGCTTTGAAATTCCAAGAAAATGAAGAGAAAATGAGATCTTTTTTTGTTTAAATTTAAATTTTTTTACTTCTTGTTATCTTTTTTCTTGGGAATTTTTGTAGATTTCCATTTTAACTTGATTTTATTGCTTGGTAGGTTTATTGGAGGGGAGAATTGTAACTAGAGAATTAGATGTCTTCTTTTTTCCCATTTTATTCTTTTATCTATATTACTTCCTTTGTTCCCATTTTCTTCATTTTCATTCTCACCTATACCTCCCTCACAAACTACTGATTGGATCAATTGCCCACACTAGAATCACAAAAGGGGAGAAAGGTAAGTAAGAGATTAAGCCAGAAAGAGTGGAGTTCAGAGAAAGAGATGAAAAAGATTGACAATTAGTAACCAGATCTGTTGCTAGATTAAAGTTGCACATGATTAAACGCTTTAGCTTAGGTGAGCTTTAATGGTTGGAGGGTTTTAATGCAAAGGGGGCGGAGAAAAAAAAATATGGCATCAAAATGAATTAGAATGGTGAGAGGATACAGACGAGGTGGTCTTCAGAAGAAATAAAAAGTAGTCACTGACATCTTCCTCTTACTGGTTATAGAGTCGCATAATCTGGAATTTCATTATGACATGGCAAAATGAGTAAGTTAGTGCCCTCCTTGTGAGGAGAAAGTCTATTATATCGAGAAATATGTTCGAAACACAAGTAAACCAATATAGTATGAATGGCAACAAGTTTAAGCTGTTCCTGTCTAATTCCAAAACCGTCAAATATTAATTTTTTATTTAGTGTGCGACAATGGGTGAGGAACCGGATGTGCATGAATTAGCGTCCATTATCATTAACCTTTACTTTTGGACAAATTATTAACAAGAAACTAAAATTCAGGGGAAAAGAAATCATAAGAATGTTAGCTTAGATATAATATTAAAAGGGAGGTTGATTGGTATATATTTTAATTTAATATATTATATAATATATTTATTAAAAATTATTATTTTTAATTTAAAATTAAAAATAAATAAATTTCAAAATATAATCCTATATATAATATAAAAATTAACTAAATCAATTATATTTATATTATATTTTAACAATTAAATTAAAATGAATATCAAAACAAATAATAAAATATATTAAAT